CAATTTTTTTCAGTTCATCTTCTGAATAGGACTCACTCACTTGCCTCCTGCCATACAGCCTGATGTAAGCATTTCTTCCATTATGAACATGGCCTGAGTCATGAGTCATGAAAGTACCTTTCTCTGGTTTTCCTCACTAAAGCTAAATAAGAAGCTTTTCCAGAAAACAAAATACATCAAATAAAACACCGTCAGAAAACAGAACAGTGTTATAAAACCCACCTGGCCCTCTGTGCAGATTTGAGTGACAGATGTGTGGTCACAAGAATGGAACTTGCTGGTGACAATTGAAGATGTTTCAGGGGCCCTGCTTGGCATGTGGTATGTGTGGGGTGTGTGTGTGCGTGTGTGAAGGTGTTACATTAGTGCTGCCTGTAGAGCACCATTGCCACAGCGTGCATGTCCCTCCCTCCTTTTTCCTCCTTTTGATTCTCAGACTCCTCTTGGGTGTGAAAATAATCAACTCTGAAATGAATGATGAAGGACTTCACAAAGCCTGAGCCTTAAATCCAATTTCACATCAAAAGAAGTGAGACATCCAGATGGAAGACAAAGCCAAGTACTCATCCATTCAGCAGTTAGTAAGAGAGAAGTTGGTTGTACGGAGATGAATGGATAAAGCTGACCAACAATGTTGTTTTCAGGCCCAGAAGATCAATTTTTGTTAAGGCAATCTGAAGGACATACAGCCTGGGCTGGTGGTAGAGGCAGTGACCAGAATGTGGTTTGGGTCAGGTCCAAAGTAAGCTCTCTGACACTGTCTCTGTTTGTGGACAGCTTGAGTAGCATACTCTGGGGCCAATGAAATGTCACTTTCTGAGAGTTTTATTATAATGGAAAACAGAATGATAAGACCTTGGTTGCTGTAAACACTGTGGCCACAGGATGGCTCACAAGTCCTGCGTTTTACTCCAGAAAAGCCTGAACTGGTGTCCAGTTGAGAAACTCTGGCCCTCCTACCTGAACCCCTGACTAAGGCTGCAGATTTCAGAACTAAACTGTGTGCATTTGCCTGGATTTGGGAATCTTCTACTTTGTTCCTAGCAACAAAATATTGTTCCTAGTCCCTCAGAAACCAGAGGAAAAAAGGGTGAAGTGTGGGAACAGATAAGGAAAAGCAAGAACATTGTGGCCAGGAAATCTCATGAGCTCAGGAAGTGAAATTTGGAGAACACAAACACTGACTGAGCTGGGGGAACCTGCTGCATGTCATTGGCTAACAGGGCTCCTTATCACGTGATCGGGGGCTCATGCCTAGCTCATACACATGATTTTTAGGAAGGAAGGATCGAACATGGAGGAAAAAAGACTAATTGGTAATAAGCTGGAATCTCCCACTTTCGCCTCTGGAAATGCAGAGGCGAAAGGGAATTGGGCACTGTATGTACAGCTTACCAGTCCTTTGGGTGGAGCTGCACTAGGAGAAGGCTGACTCTAGGTTTGGGTTTTATTAAAACATTTATTTCTCAATTTCATGTAATATACAATGAGCTTTTTCTGCAAATGCCTTTTGCATAGCTTTGCTTCTATTTTGCATTTTTAAAAATAGTTTGCAGGAGGGATGCACTACTGGTCTCTGAGATAAGCATGGTGGGGCCACAGAAGGAAAGTAGTCAAAAGAGCCCTGTATGGAAGATGGTATGAAAGAGAGCAGCGAGGGCTGCAGTATTTTCAGGCTGCCATCATGCCTCACCTGCAGATGGGGAGATGGTCTGAGAAGTGCGCTGCTAGTGATGGCATCATGGCGTATCGTAGAGTGCATTTAGGCTAAGACAGTGAAGACCTCACTAGGCAAAACAGTAGATAGACCACCATCACGTTAGAGGCCCAATTTGAGAAGAGGCCGTTTTGCAGCCCATGAATGTGTCCAGGCAATCCATTTTTCTTCTACCAAGTTCAGTGAGATGGGCTGGCACTAGGTTTTGCTATTTTGTTTCTCTCTCCATTTCTTTTCAGCCCTTTGTGAGCCTTTTGCTCTGCCCATTGCCCTGATTTCTCATTGTTTTCCT